GTGTTGGCCAGCAGGGAGGGTGCTGATTATAGGCCCATGGGGAACTGTGATTTGTCTGACCCCCCCCCCCCACACACACACACACTCCACAGGCTGCCCCTGTGCGGGGCAGCGGCAGGTAAATCCCCATTACCCTGCCCCCTTCTGTCACCCACCCTGGTGGCTCCTTGTAATCTCATCAGCACTGCCTGCTGCTGTGTTAAATTGCCATCTTTGCCCCCCTCCCCAAATCCTAGCACTCGCTGTCCCCCCCTCCCCCCCAGGCTGTTCTTTGGGGCTCACAAGCAGTGATTTGGGGTGGGGGGAGGGAGAGATTTATGGGCGGTGGACCCAAATCAGTGAGACTGTGAACCCCCAGGGAGTTGGGGTGGGAGGTTGGCAGGGCAGGTGGTGTAGGGTTGGGGGTTGAGACAGGGCACGAGGGTGCTGGGAGGGGGCCTGGGGCTGGGTGGGGTGCTGGCAGGATCACAGCACTGTCTGGGGAATCGCCTGAAGTGTTTTATGATGCACCTTTTCAAATGCCTCGATTCCAAGTGACTCTTGTGAGCTCCTCATTGCAGGGACTCGGGGGATGGGAATGACGCAGGGTAGAAGAGGATGTTGGCAGAGGATGGGGAGCATGTTGGCACTGGTGAGGAGACAGGAGGCCTCCCCACATGGGTGCAATCAAACCATAATCCCGACCAGATCCCCTTGGGATGCCACCGTTATGCAAGTATCCGATAATCCTGTCTAGCTGGCTGCGTCCCCTCTCCATACGAACTGATTGATTCGTCTCTGCGCGGGGTGGGCAGAGATTGGAAGAAACACGGGCTGGTGAGTGAGGCACTGAGCTGGCACGTGGGTTCAGTTCCCGGCTCTGCCCCAGACTTCCTCTTAAGTCACTTGATCTTTCTATGCCCCGGTTCGGCAGCTATAAAATGGGGCCTCAGTCTTGGGGCCTCGAGGCACCCGCCTCATGGAAGTGTCAGAGGTGGCAAAACTACTTGGGGAGGAGGATGTTTTTCTGTTTGTGCTTCCTACACCGGACGTAGGAATTTCCTGTATGGCTTAGCACAGGGGTTCTCAAACTGGGGGTTGGGACCCCTGAGGGGTCGCAAGCTGCCAGCCTCCATCCCAAGCCCCGCTTTGCCTCCAGCATTTATAATAGCGTTAAATGTGTTTTTAATGTATGGGCGGGGGGGTCACACTCAGTGGCTTGCTATGTGAAAGGGGGGGTCACCAGTACAAAAGTCTGAGAACCACTGGCTTAGCATAAAGGACAAACCAGCATTTCAGGGAGGAAGCCGAAGCGACAGGAAAACAAGCCAAGTCTTTTGATCATACAGAGGGACCTAGACAAATTAGAGGATTGGGCCAAAAAAAAACCTGATGAGGTTCAACAAGGACAAGTGCAGAGTCCTGCACTTAGGACGGAAGAATCCCATGCACCACTACAGGCTGGGGACCGAATGGCTAGGTAGCAGTTCTGCAGAAAAGGACCTAGAGGTCATAGTAGATGAGAAGCTGGATATGAGTCAACAGTGTGCTCTTGTTGCCAAGAAGGCTAACGGCATTTTGGGCTGTAGAAGTAGGGGCATTGCCAGCAGATCGAGGAACATGATCGTTCCCCTTTATTCGACATTGGTGAGGCCTCATCTGGAATACTGTGTCCAGTTTTGGGCCCCACACTACAAGAACGATGTGGAAAAATTGGAAAGAGTCCAGTGGAGGGCAACAAAAATGATTAGGGGGCTGGAGCACATGACTTATGAGGAGAGGCTGAGGGAACTGGGGTTGTTTAGTCTTCAGAAGAGAAGAATGAGGGGGGATTTGATAGCAGCCTTTAACTACCTGAAGGGGGCTCCAAAGAGGATGGATCTAGACTGTTCTCAGTGGTACCAGATGACAGAACAAGGAGCAATGGTCTCAAGTTGCAGTGGGGGAGGTCTAGGTTGGATATTAGGAAACACTATTTCACTAGGAGGGTGGTGAAGCACTGGAATGGGTTCCCTAGGGAGGTGGTGGAATCTCCTTCCTTAGAGATTTTTAAGGCCCAGCTTGACAAAGCCCTGGCTGGGATGATTTAGTTGGGGATTGGTCCTGCTTTAAGCAGGGGGTTGGACTAGATACCTCCTGAGGTCCCTTCCAACCCTGATAGTCTATGATTCTATGATCTGTTTAGAAGACTCCAGAAAAGTCCCAAGTTTGGGACAGTGTGGGGGGGCGGGGAGTAGCTCAAAAGCATGTTAATTTGTGCATTGAAATCTCTGCTTCTGGGCTGCGCTCTTTGAACTGTGAGTTATAACCAGAGTGCCGATTCCTTCTTGTGAGAATCTCACTTCGTGGCTACGCTTGCACCTCTCAGTGCCTGAAGACGTGCCGAAGGTGCTGTTAGCTTCTGTGGGAGTGTGTGTTTCCATTCGTGTGACTGTCAGTTTCCCTGGGGACCAGAGAGTGGGTTGAATGGCAGTGAGTTCTGTCCTGGGGTTAGCAGGCTCGCCAGTCTGTCTGCCTTGGTGGAGAAGGGCCTAGGCCAGGGGTGGCCACCCTGAGCCTGAGAAGGAGCCAGAATTTACCAATGGACATTGCCGAAGAGCCACAGTAATACGTCTGCAGCCCCCCGTCAGCTCCCAGCGCCTCCCACCCACTGGCAGCCCCACCGATCAGCGCCTGCACCTCCCGATCAGCTGTTCCGTGGGGTGCAGGAGACTCCGGGGGAGAGGAGCGAGGGCACGGCAGGCTCTGGGAAGGGGTGGAGTGGGGGCAGGGCCAGGGGTTGAGCAGGGAGCACCCCACCGCCCCCGGCACAGTGGAAAGTTGGTGTCTGTAGCTCCAGCCCCAGAGTCGGCGCCTATACAAGGAGCCACGTATTAACTTCTGAAGAGCCGCATGTGGCTTCACGGCCACAGGTTGGCCACCCTGGGCGTAGGGTATCTGGTTGGAAACGCCAAAAATGTCGCTCAGGAGACAGTGTGAAATAGTGGGTAGGGCATTGACTGGGCCTTGGAGACCTGGCCTTCTGGGTGACCTCGGGCAAGTCACGGCCCTGCTCCGTGCCTGTTTCCCCAAAGCGGGGTGAGACTTGCCTCTTTTGTAAAGTGCTTTGAGATCTATGGATGAAAAGTATTCTAGACGAGCGGGGTATTGTTATTAACCCCTAAGAATGTACTATCGTGACTGCCCTCCAGCTAGGCCCGTACTGTTCCTCTGCTAAAAATTGGGCTGTGTAAAAGATGCCTTGTTCGGTGTGAACAGAGCTATACCTAGCACAAAGGGTTAACAAATCCCTACTAATCCTTGTGAGCAGCACACGCTGTCTGGTCACACAACTTAACGACTGTAGCACAGCGATTTTTAATGTAAGTCACGTTCTTTCCCTGCTAAAGTTGGAGGTAGCTTAATGTTTCTTTTTTACTCCGTCTAATGTCTCCCCTCATGGGGAATAACACTTTTCCATGAACTTGAGCACGTTGGTAAATAGTTTAAAGTCACACAGCATTACTCAAACACCCACTCTCTGCAGTGAATCTATACGCCTGAGCCATCTCCGTGGGAGATACGTGCGCCTGTTGAGAATAGACTCTCGGGAGCCTCTCCACAACACATGCATGCATCGATAAAAGCCAAACCCCAGGCTTTCTCCTAAGACGGCTAGAGGAGAGGAGACACTCCTTGCAAAGGCACTTACAGATGCCGAGCCGGTTATAAAACAGGAGGAGTTCAATGGAATATCTTTAAAGTGACCAAAGCTACGAATAGTGACCAAAATAATGGCCGCCCCCTTAGCTGATCAGAACTCCAGCAGGCTTCCCCTTTCTACCGCCATCCTCTGCCATAGTGGTGCTGTATTATGACAGAGAAGGTAAACTGAGGCATGGTCTAAGCCTGTAGTTGACTGTAAAGCTCCATCTGGCCTTGATCCAGGAGCGAAGCTGAAGTTGATGAGTGTTTCCTTCCCCCAGCTGAGTGAAAATGGCCCTTGGTTCACCTCACAAGTTATAGGACTCGGTACTGGCGTAAGTGGGGGATGCCCCCTCCCCCCGACATGCATCGGGTCTGGTTTGTTACTAAATCCTTTCTTGTCCCTCTCCCCTGTCTAATGAAGGTGCCAAGCAGCCGGTGATCCGACTTGAAGAAGGGCGGGTGCGCAATGCGACGGCCCCGCAGCAGTTCTGCTACACCAACGCGGAGACCCCGAAATGGCACGACATCTGGACCCGGATGCAGGTAGGAACCGGCGCCCGCTTTGCCTGCTGCCGCAAAGCCAGGTCTGCGTCTCACTGCCGCCCCGCCCCCATCATTTGCATTCAAGCCGGGAGTCCGAATGAAAGAAGCTTTGTTGGGTTTTCTTGAACCAGCAAAAGAACTTCTCAGACCAAACTAGGGTGACCAGATGTCCTGATTTTATAGGGATAGTCCCGATATTTGGGGCTTTTTCTTATATAATCACCTATTACTCCGCACCTCCTGTCCCGATTTTTTTACACTTGCAGTCTGGTCACCCTAGACCAAACCCCCTTGTCTCTTTATCTCCTCTCCTTGGGGCATGCGCGGTAGCAACAAGGTAAGGGCTGGTCCCCAGGATAGAAATTTCTTGCTTGGACCTCTCCCTGTGTCTGAATGCTCCTGTGTTCCTAGCCTTTGTACCTTGCCCTTCTCGTCCTGTGGTTTATGTGAGGTTAGCAGCCGGAATGTGCTAGGGGCTGTACAGGCAGGTGGGAGCACAGTAAGGCCAAAGGACGACCACAGTTGTCCTAGGAACACACTGTAGCGGTCAGAGCCAGCAGGCTTGGTTGCAGGACTCCTGGGTTCTATTCCCAGCGTTGGGAGGAAGTGTCGTGTAGTGGTTAGAACAATGGACTGGGCGTCAGGAGTTCAAGGTTCTCTTCCCCCCGGCCCTGCCGCTCACTCATGTGGCCTTGAGCAAGTCACTTAAGCTCTCTGGGTGTCAGCTGGAAACCAGGGAGCATGCCTGCTGCGGGCGAGTGTTCGCTGGTGGGGAAGCTCGCCGAGTCGCTGGCTAAAGGGGACACTGCTGTCACGGGCACCTGTTTCCAGCAGTGTCAGACGTAGGTGCAAAGTAGTGTCCCCCTGCTGCTTGTCAGGCAAAGGAACTTGAAGGCAAAGGAGCCCCGGGGACGACTCAGGGTAGGGAAAACGAGAGGAACTGCTGGTTGGCGGCTGGCATGGGGGGGGCTCTCAAAGCGTTGGCGTTCATACCCGAGGCTTAGTCAGACATCAGTGCAGGGCTGTTCCTCCCCCTGACGCCTCTTGTCACCCTGATCTCCCCCGCCACAGCGGGCAGACGCTATCCTAGTTTCTCACAGTGGCTGCCCCGAGGCTGCGTCTGACGTTTGCAGAAGTGGCAAGTTTCTGTCAGGACACTTCATGTCACGGTTTCTTGGTCTGAGATCCGTGGCGCTGTTCTTCACATCCGCCTCTTCCGGCCGGAGGTGGGGGGAAGGAATCGCATCAGAGAACCATGGGTTTGTAATTTATTCCATAAAGCTATCAAAGGCGAAACTGCCTGGCGAGCGGGTCAGGGAATGAATAAAACAAGCCCATTGAGGGAAGTTTGTACAATCAGCGCTTAAGCTCCTTCTGTCTGAGAGACTCGGCAATTTTAACAAGAATGCTTCAGTTCAGACCCCGGCTGGGAGCATTACCCCCCAGTTACAGATGGGGAAACTGAGGCAAGGGGAGGGGAAGTGACTTGCAAGATGTGACGGAGCAGGGAGCAGGGCAGATTTGACCTGGGAATGTTGCAGGGGGGTTGCAGTGGGGATGTGGGACT